GCTGCCTGTTGGGATACTGTAGGTAAAAGGCTTTCTGGATGGAAGTTTCCATTTCAGGATGACGTCCTCATTTCCTTCTACACAGGGTTTAGATTCTACAAGCAAGCTACAATGTGTTTGTCTGAAGTATCAATAAAGCACATTTAGAGCCTGATGGCACACTTCTAGAAGTCTGTATGTGCACTAATACGGAGGTAGAAAGGACTGTGTGATAAGACAGCTGATGTGATGTTCATCCACGCAGATCAAGCACAGAAAGTGGTGGAAAATGTGCTTGTACAGAAGAGGGCTAGCCCCTGCAAACATCCCTCTCCCACGTAACGCCTGCATCTCAGGCATCTGGAGCATTGTTCATTTTGCAATTTTGAAAAAAAAAATATTGCTTGGGGGCTCCATATGTGTGTTGCCCTTCCAGAAAATAGGTGACATTCCAGTTTGCCTTGCTTAAGGACTAACTGGGTCAGATGGAATTGTTCTGGTCACTTGAGACCCAGAAAGCATCAGTTGGGTCATAGAAAAACAGAATGAACTGTCATTATACAGCATAAATTAAAGTTGCAGAAGTTATGAGGAAATGGTCACATGGGAGGCATAAGACAGCTGAATTTATATCCCAAACTCCGATATTTTCCTGGCTTTAAAATCGGAATGTATGAATATGTCTCCTGAGAGGCAAACCGGGACTGATGGGGTGAGGAGGTGGGGGAGTGAGAGGAATGCACAATTCTAGCTTACCATATGGAAGAGCTTGCGGGCTACTGGCAATACTGTTCCAGGAAATGCTGTTTAAGCATGCCAATTGGAAATCTAGTGGTGACTTACATTTTGGCACACACACAGACTGTGGGCCTAGAAAGAACACGGTGACGGAAGTGGGGATTTAGTAGCCACATAGCATGATCCTGTTTCCCTGTTTGTAAATGAAGAAGGTAAGATCAAACGTCCCAGGGTGCCTTCCAGCTCTAATATCCCACAATTCAATTTTCTTGGCAAGACCAAGTGATACAGTGCTTTTTTGGGGGAAAGATCAGGAGTAAGAATCTGATATTTCAATCATTTTTCTTCTTAAGGGTGGTAGCCTTTATGAGGCAGATCTTATTGTAACCCTCTTTTCCATCGAAGTTTTGAAACACTCTAGCAATTTGACATGCTATCGTTTAATGAAAACTCTTTCATTTCTGTGCAAAGCAAAGATTGACAAAAACTGCATCAAATAGTAGAGGGCCCGGGCTCTGTGATATAAACAAGTTACAATTCTGATTCTGATCAAAGTTGTGTAACTGTGGGCAACCAGCTTAATTCTCATGAGCTTCAGTTTACATTTATGTGAACATTTAGGATGATAAAAGGTCACCACATATTCGCATGAGGTTAGGCAAAATTCCTGATTCATTTTCCAAAGAATTTAAAGTGCGCCCACAAAGAAGGAGAAGGGCAGGCAGGCACTGCCCCTGAGGGTGCGGGCTCCTTCAGGGTGAAGCGCAGCCAGGTTACAGTAACTTCAGGTTTGGGCTGTTCTCTCGTCCTTATCTTTTGCACACTGTATCCTATAACTCAACTGAACTCCCTTGTTCTAGGAGTTTGGTTTTGTTTCTGTTGACTCCTTGGGATTTCTTACTGTGATAATAGAGACTATCATGTCAATTGTAAATAGAGACACGTCTCAGTTTTATTTCATTGCTTATGAGCTGTGTGCCTATTTTTTCCTTCCTTATTGCTCTGGTTAGAACTTGCAGTATTATGCTAAAATTCAGGCTTTTTATATTTGGGATTTTTGTCTCCATTCCCAAAGAACTGAGTCACTCTACAAACTAAATTTATCCATTTAAAGAAAGGTTTTGAGGTAACTTAGCTTTTCCTGCTCCTTGGCCCAGAACCATTAACACCTTCTTAGACCTGGCTTGAAATAGCAAATCAGTCCTCAGGAATAACTGAGCAGTTTCTCTGACTCCAGACCTCTGGAGTTCACAGGAGTCTAGGGTTCTACAGGAAAATTGTTTAAATGCGTAGCAGAACACCCAGAAACAATAAACACGGAATAAACGTTAGAGGCTGATAAGCTTATTACTATATTAATGGACAGGCCAGGGCTTCTCAGACTTTAATGCACATATGAATCACCAGAGATCTTGATAAATGCAGGCCTGGTTCAGTAGGTCTGGAAGGATTATGCACTTTTACTGAGCTTCTCAGTGATGCTGACGCTACTGGCCTGAGGATCAGAATTGGAGTGCAAGGGCAGGGCCTCGAGGATATTTATTATTCAATCTGTTTTGCATCTTCCCTTTTTGGGGTAATTATTCTTCACTTGGAGATTATGATGCAGATCTTAGATAGGGTCCTCACTGGCTCGTGCTCGCTGCATAATTAAGCAAGAAACAGCCCTCAGACCAGCTCAGAGAAGTAAGGATGTAATTACTATCAGCTCAGCTTCTTTGTCTTGCACAGGAAGACTGAGCTAACTCATAAAAAGAAGTCAAACTCTTACTCAGACTTTCCGGAGTGGAACATTGCAAACCAACACAATTTTTTTTTTTTTTCTGTACCAGGGATTGAACTCATGACCTAGTACTTGCCAGGCAGGTGCTTATGCCACTGAGCTAATCCCTGGCACAAGTTTCTTTTCAAGTTGTTTTTACTTCCACATCACTGGTGCAAGGCACATGCCCATACTTCCTCAGAGGGGAGGCATGTCATCCCATTTGTGCCCTTGCTTCACCCTTGGACTTACAGGACAAAACACACTGCAGAGCAGGCATTTAGTGGGGTAGGTGCTCAGGAAATGTACGTTGAAAGAGTGTCAAGAAGCATTTCTGGGAGCCAGGGCCGTCCTCAGTCAGACGCACACAGAGAGGCTTCCAAGAAATAAATGTGAAGGGATGGGGGGCAGGATGGCAGTAGTGAAGTCATCTTCCTCTTAATGACCTTGCGAAGAATTACAGACACATCTTCTCTCTACTCTTTTGTGCTGGCTGAACATTAAGCTCCAGAGAGTAGGAGTCAAGAAGAGCGAATGTACACATCTGGGCTCCAGTCCCAGCCATTGTAACTAGCTCAAGGACTTTGAGTTACCATTTCCCCTCTCAGGTCTCATGCCCTTATCTAAAATGAACAGTGGGTGGTTCTTGGGAACAAACTGTGTGGACCCTTTCAGAAGTAACAATGTAGGACTCTATGTGCCAGCCGGCCACAGAGACTAAATGCAGTGTGTTCGGTGCTTTACCTGCTAATCTGTTCTTTTAAAAATCACATTTCCTTAGCTGCGTTGTCTTTTTGGTGAATAATGGTGCTTAGGTTTACCCCAGGTCTATTAGCTTTGTTAATCTGCCAGGGTACCTACCAAGCAGTGGATTGATTGATTTTGCTTTCTGACTTTTTTTGTGAAGAATGTTTTAAAGGCAAGTATTGTGTTGCTCCTTGTATCATCATTTTCTGAATACTTCTTGTTGAAACTTGTTAAATTCAAAAACTATTTCTGCAGCAATTTAATTTCCTCCATGAATCTAAATATTGATTTTCTTTTTCCTAGAGACATGAAATAGATGACACATGTTTTTATCGGAAAGATTTAGAATGCTTTAAACTTTCTTAATTAGAGCCTTCTCTATTAATTAAAAAGTACTTACACCAAGATGGGGTGGATTTATGGACCTAAACTTCTTTCCTTCTCTTTCTTTTCTTTTTCTTTCTTTCTTCTTTTCTTTGTGGTATAGTAAACTGACATACTGGGCACCTACTATTGGTCAGACATGGTACTAGGTGCTTCCCCATGATTAAATTATCACAAACTATTGTTATATGTATTGTTACTGTTTTACAGATAGCACCACTGACATTGAACATCTCATTCAAGGTCATTTCACTCCTGTGACTTCTCTTCCCATGCCTACTTTCTCTGGTGTACCAACTCTGCATCAGTGATTCCTCAAAACCATTTCATTGTAGTCTCCAGCCAAATTCATTAAATAGAAAGGAATTTTACTATTTGCATTATATTGTAACAACACATTTCTCCCCGTACCTTTCAATGGCAACATGATAAATATAGGTACAGTGAAAAAATTATATTCATCCCATGAGGAAATCCCTCTGGCTAGCAGTATAATGGATGTCTTTCCAGTAAGAAGCACAGGCGTATATGATTCGTACCTTTCATCAGTCCCATCCAGTACTATCGCCTTTATACTACAGAGGACACTGAAGCTCAGATAAAGAATTTGCCTGAAGCACAGGAGTGGAATGTACTTGAACTCAGACTTACCCATTAAGGTTGACTCTAGTCCAGAGTTGATTTTGCCACATAAGTGATTTCTGTTAAGGACAAAGGAAGGGGCACTTTCCAGGCATCATTTATCCTCATCATTTGAGCAGATGGCAATAATTCGTTAAGTACAAGTCCTTTCAGAGCTCTGCAAGTGAGTATGAGCCAAATGCTCAAATTAAACATGTACTCTTTAGCAGTCTTATAAAGAAAGCAAAGGATGGCCTCCAAAAGTGTCACAGTTGCAGTTCCAATGCACAGAAAGGACTCAAATCCTCTGTTCTACAGTACTGGGCCAAGGCTGAGACTATAACTTGTCCTAGTTTGCCACCAATTTGGAAGATGTCTTGCCTCTTAGAAGTTTTATAAACCCACTGGGAATCCTGAATCCTGGTTGTAGTTTCCTCTTAATATTTTAAGTACACATCTGAGTACTAAAGAGAAGCAACACTTCAAGCTTCCAGCAGTTTGAAGGCCTTTGAAAACAGACACTTTGGGGTCAGACACTACGTACTATTAACTGTGCCTTAAGCTTAATAGTGTGGGTGGTTCCTTCAGCTGCCTCATAACACAGGTACTACTCTGTACTGAAGCACTTTTCCTTCCGGAACAATGCCTGAGGGTAGGTGCTTTCTGAATTACACTCAAATAGAATTCAGGATCGAGACCTTGCCTTTTTTATTTATTTATTTTAAAGGGAATAACACCCAACAAAACAAAACAGAATAAAGTCCATCAAAACAAAGCAGTGAAAATGGTACAGAACTTTAAAATAGAATAAATAGAAATCAACAGTGGCTACCATAATATACCTTGCTGTCTTCACAACAGTTGTTCATACCATCAGACAAAGCAAAAGCAAACATAACAAAACAGAATAAAACCAGTCAAAATGTAACATTGAATTAAAAACACCCATAAATCCGAACAAAACAGTGAGAACAATACTGTACATCGTTATCTTCAAAATAGTTGCTCAGGTTACTAGACACAGGGATAAAATAAAAGAGTAAAATGGAAAAAAAAACCCACTTGATTTCAAAAACAAGACAGGAGGAAATCCCCCACAGTTGACACAATGCACACTGCCATCCTCCAAATAGATGCCCAGACCACTAGTCCCAGGCCCAGAGAATCAACTGAAGGATACAAACATCGAGCTATTCCCTTCCCCTCAGTTGCTATCATCTCACCCTGAGCCCTCCGAATCAGTGGGGGAGGAGGGTGGGGAGCACTCTGCTGGTTTTTCAGCCTGCACACCAGCTGGCTCACGGGAAGGCGTGGTTTCTCCTCTGGCTGACGCTCTTACCTATCAGCATGGTGGAGCCTGCCTTTTGGGAAGGCATGGTTTGACTTTTGGCTGAAGTTCTTTCTGATCCACATGGCAGAGCCTGCTTCATCGGAAGGCTTGGTTTCTCTTCTGGTTGAAGCTCTTACCCATCAGCATAGCAGAGCTTGCTTAATGAGAAGGTATATTTTTTCTTCTAGACCTTGCCTATTTTAAAAGTAATACAAAAATATGTGTCTTTTGAAAAATTCAAAATAATCAAGAATCATATAAAGTTAAAAGAAAACTCCTTTATAATCTAGCTGATCTCTAATCCAACTCTCCAAGAGTAACCATTGCTTACATTTTCATGTGCATATTTGAAAATTTTTATAATTGCACAGATGATGCTTAAATACACACATATATTTACGTTTTTGAGGTACACTGTATGCAAGGTAGGAATCATTACATTTTTAATATTGTGTACACCTACACAACTACTACTTGTCTCAAGATAGAAAGCATGTGTAGTGATTCGAAACCTCAATTAAGGTAATAGCATAATAATAACTTTGCAATTTTATTTTACTGCTCATTTCATCATGTCATACATATGAAACTGCCAACTCAGTGTATCTGGCATTCTGTGGTGCCTGTGTTTTACACTAGTTTTGCTGAGTATAATTAAAAAAACACAACATTCACCATTACAAAATATTTAATTCAGTGGGTGTGTTAGTTACTTTTCTCATTGCTGAGACAAAATATGAGACATCCAGAGTTAAAAGGAGAAAGGTTTATTTAGTTCAAAGTTTATGGAGGTTTCAGTCCATAATTGACTGGCTTCAAGGCAGAGTGGCACATGGCAGAGAGCAAGCATTCATAGTGGAGGAAGGCAGCAAGGCATCAATAGAGGGCATCAAGACTCTTTCTGTCCTTTATATTATATAAAGGCTACCCATTCGAGGGAGGATGTAGCGCTCATACTTTTAATCCTAGCCAAAACTACGCCAAAGTGGTGGACAAATTTGTTAAACATACTTGATCCTAACACTCTAAATTCATCCACCTCTGAAAAAGCCCTCTGACAGCATGAGGCTTTGGGGTGACATCTAGCCACAAACCATAATAGTGGACATTAGCATATTCAGGGTTATATAACCATCAACATAATATAATTTTAGAATATTTTCATCACCTCTAAAAATAACTCTCTCATGTATAGCTATAATTTTCTAATTTCTCTAGATCATCTAGCTATGGGCAGCTATCAAATCTACTTTCTATCTTTATGTTTGCCTATACTGGTTATTTAAGTGTAACTACTAATCTGCCTTCTATTTCTACAAATTTGCTTACTCTGAGATTTATTTATAAATGGAATTTAATCATATGTGTTATTCAAGCTTATTTCACTTAGCATAAAAGTGTAACATTCATCCAAATTGTAGTATGTATACTACTTCTTTTTTTTATTCTAGTGCATGACTAGTCTCCAATCTCTTTGTTCATCAGTTGATGCATATTTGGTATTTCTTTCTACATTTTGATTATCATGAATAATGCTGCCATGAGCATCTACTACAAGTTTTTGTCTGAATGCCTGTTTTCCATTCTTTTATGTATATATAGACTACATATGCAGTTGAACCTTTGTATCCATGAGTTTCACATTCACAGATTCAACTTCCCAACACATTAAAAATGTTAGGAAAAAATTATATCTGTACCAAATATATATTTTTCTTGTCATTATTTCCTAAATAATATAGTATAACAAATATTTAATGGCAACTGCATTCTAGTAGGTATTGTAGGTAATATACAAATACTTGAAAGTGTACAGGAGGATGTGTGTACTTTATATGCAAACATTGTGTTGTTTCGTGTAAAGGACTTGAGTGTATGCAGATTTTGGTATCCACAGGGGAACCTGAAACCCACCTGCCATGAGGGCTGCCATTTATAAATACTATTAAATTAACCTTAATGAATTCTACAAGAAGTGGAATTGCTAGATCACATGGGGATTCTGTGCTTAATCTGAGAAACTGTCAAACCATATTTCAAAGTGAGTGTGCCATTTCATAATCCTGCAAGTAATGTATGAGGGTTCCAACTCCTCTACATTCTGGCTAATATTTGCTATTTTCATCAAAACTTAGAGCCATCCTGATAGGTGTGATGTGATACATCACTGTGGTTTTGATTTGTATTTCTGTAATGACTAATGATGAACATATTTTCAAGTGTTTTCAGTAGGGCTTTATTATTTATCCTACTGTTACTTGCTGATTTCCTTTTCCTTTTTTTTTTTCTTTTTTTGTCTTTTTGACACAAGGTTACACTATGCAGTTCAGGCTGGTCCTGTACTAACTTTGTAGGCCAGGCTGACTTGGAACTCACCAAGATCCTCCTGCCTCAGCCTCCTGAGTGCTGGGATTACAGGCCTCTGCCACCATGCCCATCTTTGCTACTTACTGATTTCTACATTGGGCAAGTCATCCTTATACTTGCCCAAGTTATATGGCCTAGAATTCTCCAACCAAATTATTAGCTCTTTGAAAGCAAAGCCCACAGCATGTACTGCTGCTATATCTCCACTTCCTCGCTCAGTGTTGGCTGCACCAGAATATCAGAGATAAATGTTGAAAAAATAGGTGTATAGACTACCACTGATCTTGCTATTCTGTTGGTGAAGTTGAAGTCAACTGTTTGAGAAGCACCACATTTAGGTGTGCCTGGGATCTGTGCTCAGCCTTTATTGATGAGCAGGTGTAACTCCAAAAAGGATCTTTTATGGCCGTTTTCATTTCTCTGTTCAAAATTACAACTTTGAACTCTGACAAGGCTCTAGCAAAACCTGGACACAAACAAGTGTAGGTGCCACAGGAGGGTGCCTTATAACAGGAAAAAGAAACTCTGCTTGGGGTCCAGGAAGTCAGTACACCCCCCTGGGAGTTGCTGTGAGGAGCAGAGTACTCCCATGTGCCTGGTGTAGGGAAACACTAGGAGCTGCCTTCTAGTGTTAGTGGATTTCCGGAGTGTTTTGTATTTAAAGTGCCTTCGTTTCTGCCAGGAATAGGCCTACTCAGTCTTGGATGAATTAGCAGAGTGATTCTGGCAATTTTCATCTATATTTATTGTGAAAAGTGTATGTATATTTAATATACGCTCTCACTGCTCCTTCACCATACAGAGTGAAGCAAAACTGATTTATTTGAAACATTGACTATTTTGAGTTCTTTATTCCACAGGTATAAATCATTTTGAAAATTGGAAACAGACCTTACTTATTAAATGCACTTATGCTTTGCTTAAGATATTTTTCTCCTGTGTTTTCCCATTGATTATGTGCTCTAACAAATTAAGCATATTAGCAAAGCAAGTGGACTCATGGGAAGGCCGAGAGCCTAAATGTCAAAGAAGCCTCGGCACACATCTGCCCTTGCCACTTGCTAAACATGTGATCTCGGGTAACGTGGTAGGCAGAATAATGTGCTCCCCTCAGAGATGCCCACGGCCTAATCCCTGGAAATGGCAAAATCAACCTCACAGATGGGAGGAATTAAGTTTACAGACCTTGTGATGGGGAGAGTCGTCTAGGTTACACAGGCAGCCAATCTAATCAAGTGAGCTCTTCTTACAAACAGGAGACTTTCTCCAGTTGAGGTCAGAGCAACGCAGGGGAAGGTGGCGGGAGAAGAAAGGTCAGAGAACTGGGGGCGCCAATGGGACTGGACTCACTGTTGTTGGCTGGGGAAGGTCGAACAGCTGGGAGAGGCCAGAAAGAAAATGGGAATCTGAGACTTGTGCCACACAGAGCTGAAAATAAGCCCAGACGCCGATTCCCCTCCAGAACCTCCAGTAAGAAGCACAGCCTTGCATGCAACTTGCAGGCTCCATTCGGGATGTTGAGTCTGGGTTCTGATCGACACATCCATGAGGTAACGAATACATGCTGTTTTAAGCTGCTACACTCATGATTTGTTATAGCAGCAATAGAAAACTTATACACTAAGTTAGTATCTGAGAATTGCGGGTAATTCTGATTACGTTGAAGAGTTGTTGTACAAATGTGGACTTGTATACTCACATTGCCGTGGTTTGGCTGTGGCTTGTTCCTAAGGGTTCGTGCTTTGGAAGGTTGGGCCTCAGTGTGGTGATGCTAAGAGGACTTAGGGTTTGCTGGAAGATGATAAGATCACTGGGAGTGTGCCAGCACAGGGGGCTGGCGACGTTCCTTGGCACTCTGCTTAATTTCTGAGAATGGATTGCTAAGAAAGAATGAGTCTGGCCGCTCCGGGCCCTCTGCCTTCCTTTTTTTTTTTTTTTTTTTCTCACGTGATCTCTTCCTTTCCCACATGCTCCTCCTGCTAGTGTGCTGCTGTCTCCGTAAGGTCCTCACCAGAGGCCAGATTGATGAGGCTTCCAAATGCTGAACTTTCAGTGTCCAATGCTAATGACTATAATGAAACCATAATGTTACTCGAAATAAATTAGACACACGCTTAAATGTAGCATAGTTTGTCCTTTATGAGGAACCCAAAATACAAATACACAGCAGAATAAAAGGTAGATAATAGAAAATAGAGAATTAGATCTTTTGCAAAAGGGAAGAGGATCAAGGGATGGAGAGGGAGGGGAAGGGAGTGAAAAAAAGAATGGAGATGTGTTATGTACATGTACCAACTTCCCACAAGGAATATAATCATTATGTACTGATAAAAGAATAAAAATTGGTAAACAGTTGTGACCTAATTAAGCCTTGGTTCTTTATAAAGTTTGGAGCTTTAGGAATTTCATTATAGTGACATAAAGTGAACCAATACACGTGAGTAAAATGCCTGGCATGTAATAGGTAAGTAATGACTTCATATGTGTCAGCACTAGAGAAATACAAACAGAATAGATATCAATATGAAGAAAATGTGTCTTGTAAGGCTAATGCTTCATGAGGTGGGAATCAGCTAACCTCTACCACACTGGCTACTGATGTTTATAACAGCTTGAGAACATCTGCTTACCTGCTTGGAGTATCCAAAGAACGTGGTGTGTTCTAGTGAAAAGCAATTCAAAGAAGTGTTGTTAGGTGGCAAATATTTAAATTGACTTTAATAAATCATTGGAGATATTTTGCTAGGTAATTACATCCTTTCCCACTAAAACAATTCTGTTCTGATTTTCTGGAATTTTTAGTGAAGAAAATAACAGTAGGATTAAAAAAAGAAATTCCTACATGTTGAGCCCGACTGGTATGCGTTTCTCCAACTAGGGGATTTAAAATTAGGGTGTGATCCCAAGTAATGAATATTAGCTTCCTCAGAATTATGACAAAACCCTAGTCCTGGGGGCACCCACAAAAGATCTTCTATCCGTGTGTGCTACAAGTATATAGAATTTCCCTGAGTGGATTCTGGGACTTGAGAAAGCAAAAAGACCAAAACACAATTACAACAAACCTGTATCCCATGCCCTACCCTCTACCTTCCTACCATGTCTCTGAGCATAGAAGAGACATCACTTGTGAATTAGCTTTCTTGTAGTTATAAACATTCGAAACTCTTCGGTGGTTTATAGCAATGGTTTATTTGTTCCTCATGCTACAAGCTGCCAGAGCTGAATCTGTTCCAGGCTCTGAGTCAGCTTGATGCATTTTCTCATTGTGGAACTCAGCCTGAAAGAATAGATCCTGTTTGGGATATATATTAGTTATGGTTCTATTACTGGGACAAAATACCTGAGGCAAAGAACTTAAAGGACAAATTGTTTATTTTTGCTTGTAGTTTCCAATGTTTCAGTTCATGGTCAGCTCTGTCAATTGTTATGAGCTAGACATGAAGCAGAACATCATGGAGGATGTTTGTGGTGGGACAAAGCTGTTTATTTCATGGAAGTTGAAAAGCAGAGTGGAGAAACAGTACCAGAGATAAAAGGGCCAGGGACCAGATGTCGTCTCCAAGGTCACATTCAGTTGTGAGTTCATCAGGGAATCGGTTGATGATGTTAGTGGCCTCATGCTCCTGTCACTTCTCTGGGGCCCCCATGCTGAGCATTGCTACCTGGTGGATCAAGCCCTAAGTCATGAGTCTTGGGGGCCACTTCATATTTCAGGCTATATTATATCATGGCAGAGGGAAAAGGGTAGGAATCAGAACTGTACCACATAATTTAGCTTATGCCTTCTGAAAGGATATGGCCATGTCATGTTAACTCTCCATCTATCAGATATACAGCAGATGCGAAATAAAATATACACCTCCCTTAGGAAGCTTTGCAAGTCACAAGTCGCTGAGAGTGGAGATTGTAACCCTTGTACAGTTAGTTTCTCTTAGTTTGTTGAAAAGAAAAGTTTGTGCTTACATTTTTTGGACAATATTTCATGCCTGTATCTTGTGCTCTGAACAACTGCTATAAATTTAATAATATACAATGTACTAATTATTGTTACTCTCCTGCTAGACTGTTTTGAAACTCTGCGTTGTTATTATTTTTACTTTTTTCTGTTTAAAGTAAAATTTTTTAAAAAAAGAGGAGGAGGACAAATCCTTAGACACCACTTATCACATATCCCACACGTTCTGTTCCATTCTCAATTGCCAAGAAGACTTCTTTCCTAACGTCTTCCTTCCATTACAGTAGGTTTGCTTTCGGCATTCTTCCTCAGAGTATAGGTCTGTGGATTCCTAGTCTGAAGCCAGAGAATATAACCTCCTGATTCTAGAGTTCTCTCCTTAGGTGGGATACACACTACTCCTAATGCTGTACAGAAAAGAATGCAAAGTATTTCAAGGGCATAGGAAGGTTACTGAGGAACAAGAACAGAAAAATCAAGTGAAGCTGGCTGGGAATCCTTGGGGTTTAAGGCCCAGACACTGACGCACCTTGTTCTGAGCACAAGGCTCAGATGGAAGGACCTTCATCTCAGATGAATCCCCTCAAAAATAGTTTGACTCAGATTCAGAGGCTGAGCATCACACGAGTAAGCAGTGATTTTTACTTTGTGCTGAAAAGCACTTGGCTTCAGAGAGAAGCTTGTTATCGTGAGCCTGTTTGTATTTGATGGAGAAGACACAGGTTTTTTAGCAAATGGGTACTTGGGTTAAGTAGTAGGCAGTATTTGCACTTAACAGTAGTACTTCCTTGGATATTATCAAAACAGACTGCTGACTTTCATTGCAACTATTCTTAACTTAAAAAAGAAAATGTTAGCTGATTAATTGTGAGCCCAGTGTGACATCCGTACATCCTTTCACCAGACCCTTACTGTATCTATAAATGAAGGATATTTCCTGACCAATGCAAATGGGACATATGTTGATTGATTATACGTGCACATGTACTAAAGACATTAATCCATCATCAAGCTCTTTCTCACTAGGCCTTAAAAGGGCAGACATGTTAAAGGTATGTCTTTTGGAATAGAGTTATCCTGCTAATTGAGATTGAAAATACCCGGCACTTTTGTTCTCTGCTGGATGTACTATTACTGACTATTCATTATTTTCCAAAACTATCTCTAAAGTTTTAGCATTAGGGCGCCAGTGGAGAGAGTAGTGTTGTCCTGTAATTCTGTCCTGTAATAATAATATTCGGTTGTTTAAGTAATCTTCGTTTCCTCTATCTGTACTGCAGCAGTGTTCTGGATGTTAAAACCACTTTCTTATTTCCATCTAGAGAGAATCTGAATATATTCATATCTGTTTCATAAGTAAACCAGCCTCTAAGTATACATCATTGTGATGATTGAAATGACCTTTTTCTGCAGTGAAGCCAAATTTAAGAAAGTTATTTTTTTTTGTGTGTCACCAGAACACTGTTCATGTTGAGTTATATGGTTGAATGCACCTAAAATGACTGGCGTGGAAGCTTTGCCCTCTAGAAAGTGTGGCATCCAGCAGAACCATGCGGTTTCTCCAGACCTCACCTGTCTTGGGTATACACTGGAATGAATTCTGGGACCAGAATCGTGGGAAGCATGAAGTGTGTGTACCACTGTAAATTCCCTTTGTCTCCTTTTTCTCCCTCAGATTCAATCATCCTGAATGTCACCCACATAAATGCTCAAGCAGTCTGATCGTACTTCCTTCCACCCAGGACTTCTCAGTTTACAAGTATTAAAGTTACTAGGGGTTTCTGCTCTCAAGGATTAGTCATGATGATTTTTATTTGCAGCTGAAGATTAAATAAAGAAGCAAACCATGAAAACAATTATTCTAATTGCTGCTGCTGTTCCCTACCAGAAGTCTAGGGTCTTTACAGAAACTAGGCCTTGATCCTCAGTGCTTATGCAGCTGTTACCTCTCTCATTAATACTAGTTTATGATCTTCCCCCAGTGCTGTTTGTCTTAACTGCTCTGGGCCTAAGGAGTTATAGCTTTGGATAATCTATCTCAGGGCTGCAGATGTAGCTCAATGGTAGAGTGAGCTATTTCTGATTTGCTCAAGATGATTGTTTGATCCCTAGCGCAGCATGAATAAATTTTTTTTCTTTTTTTTATTTAAAAAAGTTAAAAGTCAGAAAAGAAAACCAAAAACCAAAAGGCATAAACAACAACAGCAGATTCAAAACAATAGCAATACAGATCTTCAAAACAGAATGAAAGAAATTTAACAATGGTTGTTATATTGCATATTGTTCACTTTTTTAACATATAGAGGATATCAAAGAAAATAGAAAGACAGAAAAGAAGTGTAGAACAATACCAAATTCAAAAAAATTATCATTGTAAAATTGCTAGTTGTTGCATTTCTCATTGTCATCTTAAAAAATAGTTGCCAAAGTCACAAAATCAAAGCATAGTGGCTAGACACTCAAACATTAATAGTACAAATCCTTCTGTTCAGTGTTCCAACAGACATTCAGTAATATGGTCATCTAGCTTACACACTATACATACTGTTGTATTCTTTAGAGCACTTTCTTTCCCTTTTGATATCACAGTATCTATTACACCTTTGGATCCCATTATTCTGTCAGTTTTTATTGTTTTGTATACTAGAGAGACAATGTGATATTTACTCATGTGAGTCTTGTTTATTTCGCTAATGAGGATATTCTCAAGTTGCCTCCGTTTACCTATAAAGGCTTCACAATCATCCTTTTTATAGCTGAGTAGTACTCCATTGAATAAAAATAACACATTTTTTTCATCCACTCGGCAGTTAATGGACATTTTGGTTGTTTCCAAGATTTAACTATCACAAATTGTGCTGCTATGAACATGGGTACAGATATATCTCTATGACATGACCTTTGCAAATTTTCTGGGAAAATACCCAGGAAGGGAATAGCTGGATTGAATGGAACTTCCAATCCTAGCTTTTTGAGGAATCTCCATGCTGATTTCCATAG